AGTGTCTGGAGAGAGGGAGGTCTGGGCATCTTTGCTTAGACTGCTGCCCCCGCGACCCGGCCCCGGATAAGCGGAAGAAAATGGATGGATGGATGAATATATGTTTTTTGTTTGTTGGTTTGTTTATCATGTTTGTCACTCTTCGAGCTCCTGTAACTATCAGGAGACAGGAATTTTAAGCTTTTTAGAACTGGCCCTGACTGTTAAGACTGTTAAAGAATTAAAACTTGAACTATCTCTTATAGATTTTTAGTAACTTACTTTGGTTTTAAGTAAAGTATACAGCACTCTCCTCTCTGCATCTTATCCATGGCTCGGTCCACTCCCAGGGGAACACCTTTATCCTCAGCCTCTCCAACAATAAAGCTGACGTCCCTGCAGTCAAACAGTCGGCCACCACAACTCCCCTTCAGGTGCACTGTGAGACACATAATGTCGTGGCACAATTGAACCTCTCATTTAACTGTTTAGTGTGTTGGTGATTTGTCAAACTGGCTGATATCAGTATTTGTCCATGAAGAAAAGTATGCTGTTACCGTCAACACTTGCTCCATCATTGGGATTAGTGTAACCATCCCCTTTGACCTTTATTCTTCTTATGATTCCGCTGTCATCTGTAAGAATCTCTCCTTCGAAACCAAGGAGCTCCATCTGTTTTGTGGTAAGCATTTATTTAATCACTGAACTACACAAAGAGTGGCACAAAGCTGAATACACAATTACAGCTCTCCAGAGCCTTGGTGTATGTTACAGTAACATGTGGGAAGCGAAACACAACAAATATCATCACATAAGTCATGAAAATAAAAACAGAAGAAATATTAGTTACTTTTGATGCAATATAAATATAATGTAATACTGTTATACACACTTTGTAACTCTAGTAGGACAAGACAAATACAACAACTCAGCCAGCTAAAACCAACACATCCCTCTCGGCTACATAACCATTAAACATTTTTTTTTTTTTATTCCCCTTTAGTAGCTCTAATGTTTGAAATGTCTTGTACATCATTTTATAATCATCACCCTGACATATCTGAGATCTTATGAGACTGAGATTTTTGCATCAATTTAAAATCGAGTTAAATGGGCATAATGTGCATTTGTAATGACTGCTCCATTTGTGGCTCAGTGGAGTTTACACTAAGGAGAAAATTTGGCAAAACTTTAAGTTCCCATATTTAGCATTTATAGGCAGTATACGAATGTTTACGCTCAATGTTGAAGTTATAACCATTCTGGGGACAGTTTTAAGTGCATATTAAGGTATTGTACGTAAAACCAATTATAGCTTCTCCCATATAGACATATTTTATGTTACTACAACTGTATTTTACTAGATTGTCATTGATTATTTGTTTATACGCCAGGCTGCATGTATGAAGAAGTGAAGTTAACAAACACTTTATAACAACTGCTACAAAAGCACAGCAGTATATTATACCTTCTTAAAAATGCTAAACTGGGTGACTTAAAGTAAATTATTACCAAAAATTCAATGCCTCTGATAATAATACAGTAATAACTTATGTCTGCATGTGCAGCACATGATAAACAACCACATTAAAGATTAACACTGAACACCTTATTATAAAACACTTTTACATCTGACAGAGTTAGATTATTATTGCAATGATCATTGTGTTCAATTTTTTCCCAAAAGGTCTGACTTAGGAGAGAAAAATCTTCTATACTCATTCTTGGTTGATAGGTTAACATTGCTTTGACATTTTTTTTAATGTTCCGAGTGTTCCCGTACAGTTTTGCTAATGAAAAAGCTAATAAATGTATGCAATGATTTGAAAACTTTAAATTGATGAGCTGAGATTATTATTGGCAGTGACACTGAAGAGCTGCACGTGATACTGGGGGCTGGAGCCAATTCCAAGAGGCAGGTTACACCCTGAACATGTCGCTAGTCTATCATAGAGTTGGCAAAATTTCTCTTGACTTTTCCCAGAAATTAATTATAATTATCATTGATTGTAGAGGACTGAGAATGCCTGAACTGTATCCCCACTGAGCTCCACACAGACTGATAAAACTGGTGACACTGGCTGTTTGACTAAGGGGGACTGAACCAGACAAACCAGCTCCATCTGCAGAGACATTCCCCTAAATGATCAGAGTCCCTCAGTGTGATGCAGAGTTAATGCCATGACATGTGACACCTACCTCAAACACTACTGTAGAGTTTGGAGGAATTCTGTTGGGATTTCCAACAGGTCCATAAGCATACTCTGGTTTACACAGAAACATGCAAACCTCTCCTCTCTGCATGGACAGCACGCTGATGTCCCACGCCCTGAGGACTTGTCCTGTGAGTGGATGAAACAAATTTAAAAAATCGATTAAAAGAGATATTACTGGTTCTTCTAGCAGGCACTTAGATGAGAAGGTTGATACCAGTCTCATATTTATCTGTCAGATATAAAGGTGAAGCCAACTGCTGGTTATCTTAGCTTAGAATAGAGACTACAATGTCAGGTCTGACATAATGCATGAAATCACCTACCCTTGCCCACTTTAAAGTGAAAAGGTTCTTTGCGTTCTCGAGTGCAGTCAAACGTCTTCCCTGTGAGCAGCTTTCCAGTGTAGTGGACAGTCACTGTGTCCCCAATCATTGGTCGGTCTCCATCTAACCCTGGACATTTCACAACCTGCAGACAGAAAAAGCAGCATCTAATTCTGCTACAAAATGTTTGTGACAGACAAAACAGAAGAGATAGGAGCTGGTAGGTCTAGAAAGAAGAGGAAAAACACCCATGCCATATGGTAGAACAATGAACCCAACTTGTGCCTGATCGCCCACAATAAAATGTCAAATTTAAAGCAATGTCAATAAATACCTTGATAACTCCTTGGTCTTTATTGGGAGTTACATCAGTGCCCTTTGCAGCAAACACGGCTGTGGCTGACTGGGCATCCATAGGAAAATCCTGATCAGTGGTCATTTCTGCATGTGGGCACCACACAGTAACACTGCAAAAACCATGCAAGCCTACGTTACCAATCTATAAATAACATGTCCTTATAACTTTGACTTGCATCAAGGAAAGTGACACAACATAAATCTAATTTGTGGCTGGAAGTGATCCCAGACAAAATTTCCAACATGAGTTTCATAATCCACACACTGAATATGACCTTTTTTCCTTATGTTACGTAACTTATAGCTTTTTAAGAACATATATTCTAAATTAATATCCTGTACTGAAGATATATTTACAGGTTTTCTGCAAAAGCCACTTAACCTTTTTCCTACATAGTTGAATGAGAAACATTCTTTTGTGCTACAATTGCAGTTATGTCACTTATATGTATTGGACTGTGTCTGATCCCCCACAGATAAAATAATGATTTAACAATAAATCTATGTCAAAGGCAGTGGTAGTTTCACACTTCAGTCATTTTATTTTGTAACGCACTGTACTCACAAAGATACATTAGGTTCACAGCTATTACCTTTATGGCCTTATGACAAGCTATAAATGGTATTTGGATATTTTATGGACACCAGATTTCATCTGCAGTACAACAAAACTTCATTTAGATATCTGCACTGTTCATTTTTTCATGAGTATTTCAACATTACTCTCCTTTGTGAAAGGCTCACATGCACAGGAAAAGTGTGGGCCCGAATATACTCACACACTTTGTGCTTATAAGCCTACGCCATCGAGTACAGTCATGTTTATCTCCCTCACTGTTTGCGATGAGGCAGGTGAAGATCTTCACTTCAGAGGTGATACACTGATATTATCAGAATATGAGACAGCATGTTTCTGGTTTTGTCTGGTGATGTTATTATAGTTTATTAGTGAATCATCTTTTCAAGCTGTGTTACATTTGAGTAATACAGTTTCTGGTGTGTCCACATAACCAATTGTCTTTTCTTTAATTTTTTTTTCATAGCATCAATATAGAGTACAGTAGTGTGCAAAGGACTTAGGCCATCATTAGTTCTGCTGTTTTAGCAAGATTGTAATGATGATTTGTATTTATTTCTCAGTCTCTTTATTAAGATATAACCAAAAAATACATAAATATGTACACATTATTAAAAAACACAAAATTCCAGAACAAAATTGCTTCTGCAGTCCAAAGTCAGTATTTAGTGTGACCTCCCTTTGTACTAACACAGCTTGACTGTCTTGAGCAGTGATGGAAGAAGTACTCAAATTGTTTACTTAAGTAAAAATGGCAATACCACAGTGTAAAAATACTCTATTACAAGTAAAGGTTCTGCATTCAATGTGTTACTTAAGTAAAAGTACAAAAGTATTAGCATAAATATATATGCAGTATATACGCAATATATGGAGAATGTCAGTGTCAGCTGGGATAGGCTCAGCCCCCCCTCGACCCTTTTCAGGAATAAGCGGTATAGCTAATGGATGGATGTTTAGATTAAGTAACCATGATTCTGAAGGTTATGACAGAACATTTGATATTCAGTTCTCTGTAAACATTTCTGTGCCAAAAATATTTGAAGCACAACTTGTTAGCTTGGTAACTGCTTGACAAATATATGGATGCAGTGTAGTGAGACAGATAAGCTGCTGTATAACTTGTTTGCTGCTTCCATTTCACATGTCGATGTGGAAAAGAGAATTTTTCACCAGGTGCTTTGCCTGTAATGACTTGTTGGTGTTGGAGGTGCTTAGTGCTGCCTGTCTCATTGCAGCAGCGACTGTGCATAGCTGCTGCCTTAGTACGCGAGGCTGCAGGCATTTTCAGTCTACCCAGACACAATCATCTTGACATTGTTTGAAGACAATAAAAATGCTAGTAAGTTATGTTAAGCATCTTGGCAAACACTATTTTTGTTGGTATCATGTGCAACAGATGGGATATTAAAACTTGCTAACATAGCATCAGATGACAGTTGTTCTGTGACTGTCAGGATGATACTAAGGTTAGCATGTGTGAAGTGTTAATTACAATGAAAATGTAACATAGACAATGAGATACTAGATGTTAGCCTGACCATCAAATCATTTTCGCTTTTCAAAGATCTCTAAATTGTCAAACGTGCCCTTTAAATCATTTTTAACAATTACAACATTTTGAGCCCACATTGCTCTATATCAGGTACAGAGGTGTCAAGCCACTTTGGGTTCGAAATGTACTTTTTCTAAATGTGATGAAGTTCATTCTGTAGTGTTGCAAGTCTTTGAGAAGCAGAAATCATTAGTTTTAGGACTCAGTGTTGACATATTGCAGGCAGAAAAACATACAGGTTTTTGCTGAAATTGTTGGTCATATGCTTTTAAACCGCAAGCAAAAAAGTATTTATCTAAAGGCTATGTTTTGTTTTTGTGTTTATAAGTGGAACGGCCTAAATAAAGATAAGAGATTACTTCACTGATGTCACATGCCTGCACAATTTTTGTCACATCACACCTTCATTTTTGCCCTGCACTGAATATCAAGTAACATTTGGACAAGTCTATGTATAGTGTTGCGGTAGAGAGACTTTCTCTGTTTTAACTCTGTATTAAAATCATTTTGACAACCTAAGTAAAACACATTCATATTTACTGCAAAGCCTAAAGGCAGTAATGTGAGGGAGATAATAGGTTATGCCAAACACTGATCAGACGTGCCTACTGAACATTTCCACAAAAATAATTTAAAGCTCCAAACTTTGCTCGAGTGTGACAGAGAGTAGCGGCTGCTGTCATTAACCACACATTCTAGTTTTCCATCAGTTGCCCTGTCTCACTATCAGGACATCCCAGATGCTGTTGACGATCATGTGCAAACAGGACATTTTGTAATGATGACTAAGTTCTTAAAGACCCTGTAAATATGAGGATTAAGCAATGCAGCTTGGCCTGAAATGTATCATTTTGGCAATAAGCTCAGTGTCTTGAATGTTGATGGAAAAATTGATTTTAACTCATTTTCTCAGTGTCAGCGAGGTCTAAGGAACAGCAAGAGTGCAAGCCATGGCACCACCCATGTGCCCCAACCCCCAGAGTGAAACCATAAAGATCTGTCATACGGATATCTGCACAATTTATTCCGCTTTTTCAGTTTTGTGACACTCTCAGAGATCAAGTGTCCATTTATTAAATTCTTCAATTCAAGAGCAGCACAAAGATGTTCTGCTCTTCTGTGGTTGCACCTTGTCCTGTGTTTTAAATTTTATGGATTTTGTTTTAGATGTAACATATGTGTGTGTGTGTGTGTGTGAGAGAGAGAGAGAGAGAGAGAGAGAGAGAGACCACAAGAGAGACAGAGAGAGTGTGTGTTTGTGCATGTGTGTGTGTCAGAACAAAATGTTCCTTCCATTCACAGCTCCCTGCTGGCAAAGCCTGATGGAGTTCACCAATTTGAGACCACCTCACGTACAACCTCACATAAATTTTTGAATGAAAACAAGTAGATTATAATTAGTCAATTGTTGCTTGTTGACCATACTTTTACATTTATACTAGCATGTGATTTAAATCTAAGTAAAACAAGTGGAGTTCATATTGTGATAAATTGTCATCATTAATAAATGTAGACAATTAAATATAACGGATTCCACTGATTTTAGCATGTAACTGTTTGCTTTTCCTGTGTGGAAAAAGTCTTTCATTAAACAATGAACAGGGAAAATAGAAGCAGATAGTTACAACACAGATAAGATGGCATGTGCAGAGGCTACGTGTACCTAAACTCAGATACCCTGTGGAGGAATGCAGGAACAGAACACAATGAGTCAAACACCACATCCACAAATCCACACAGTCTCTCTGTACACACATCTGCTGATTCATATGTGAATTCCTATGTGAGCACACATTTTGCTTGACCAACCTATAGAATTTCATTCTGAGTAGATGGTGAAATAGTGGAAAGTCATTTTGAACCTGACAAATACATCTCATGGATGTTAAGAAAATTGGCAGATTAAAGCTTGTAAAGTCACTTTTTGGAAGTGCTGCTACAGCGCAAGTGTTGTTGTGTGCGTAGTTTGGATGTGAAATGATGGCAAACCCTTACATTTTCAGGCATAAGCCAAAGGTAAAGAGCTGATCACCCTTTACTAATATATCTTTCCATGTCAGTCTACTAGGGCAAGAAGTTATTAAATGTCTGTGTCCATCTGTTTCATCTCTGGGACGTCACCACAGCCCTTGCCCGTGTTAGAAGGCCAACTCAGCATCTATCTCACTTCATCATTTAAATCTAAAATGCATGTTTATACACCCATATATTTTAAATTATTCGAAGGCTACCATTACACCCTGTAATGTACAACTTGGTCCAAAACGAATAACAATAAGGACAACATGAACTGCCAATTTTCAGAAACAGAGTTAGACAACCTTTAATTTATGAAGATACACCTAAGCCTTAAGGGCTCCTGGATATAAACTGCTGTCCTCATCCACCTCCACTGGTAGACAAGTTCCACACACACTCACTTATAAACAAACACGTCCACACAGGGGGACCTGATCAAGCTGTAATTTTCAGAGCACAGTGGGACATAACCTCAAATTTCCCCACACATGTGGCAAAGTCAACATCAGTCCTAAGATATTTTGTAACCAGACATCTTGTTTGATTTTGTTAGTTTATTTTTTCGTAATTTTTTGTCATTAATCATTAAACAGAATCGTCTTAATGTTGCTTAATGCTCCAGATAAAATCTTTAAGCAGTGTAACCTATAACAAGTGTCCCTTTCATTCAACCTGGCGTAAGAAAGCCGGTAAACATTTTGTTTCATTTAACTCTTAAAACAAGTCGAATAGAGAGGGAAAATTAAAACACTCACATGTTTTGCGCTCCTTTTTTAAAAATGTCCTCCCAGAAACAACCGGTAACCGCGTTTATTCCTCAACACAAGCCAGGCTCATACCCAGGATACTAAATGTTCTGTTCATGTGGTTGGTATGTAGCTTTGTTTTCTGTCTTTTACTCCACCTTATCTCCAATATGGACGTGCCGGTGTAGTAGTCACACGCGCTCAGACTTCAAAATGACACTGGTGTGAATGTTGAGAGAATAAAACACACACAGTGAGTAGAATAGTGTAGAGTTGTGGGAGGGCGTTTAGTGGAAAATTAAGGGCAGGTCTTGGAAAGCCGCCACAATGTAACACAATGTTCCGGCTGTACTGTATCTGTACCGCTGCCGCTGCTGATGAGAACACTGTGTTCCAATAGACACCCTGACCTGTAACCCGTTCCGTGCCGAGCAGACTGGGAACAGGCTGTACCGCAGCAGGCTGTCCTCTGCGCTCAGCTGGCAGTACATATCAACACTGCTGCGTAGTAGCCGAGCCCCAGCCTGCCTGCCGCACACACGGGACACGTAAGCACCAAAATAAACCCGCGGCTCAGAGCTCGTTAAGAGGCGCGGTGAGACGGATTTGTGTTATCTGGGAGAGACGGTGTTTTATTTGCGTTTACCGGACATGCTTCAAGCCCAGTTGCTGTAACCTTTCCGTAACGCATTTAAAGGTAGAGATTGTTTAAAAATGCGCATAAATATTTGCATTTTAGAAATATTATTTTATTAATATCCTCCTGACTGGTGGTAAATGTTCTTTATTGAGATTTTTACTGGGTGCACATCGCTTGTCATCTTCTCCCAGCTATAATTGCAGTGTTCACAGTGAAGAAACAAGTGTTCAAATCTTTTATGTAAAGGCTCAGCGCCCTTATTAAAAAAAAACACTTGTGACAGTGTAAATCATAATGTTTGGACCAAGTAAAATATAAACATGAAAAGAAAAGTAACAGTATTCACCAAAAAGGATGGCTGTTATAATAAACCTATAGTCCATGTGGTGTCACTGCACTTTATGTAATATTAGGAAATGTAATTGTTTCATGAGCTCATGCTTTGCAAGTTAAGCCTTAACCTGCAAAGAAAAACTGTCAAAACTTTACTCTCAGCAAAAGCACTTAGCTACTACCCAACCTGCTACTATAGACTGGTTTTCCCTGTTGGCAATAAAGTATTGAAGTGTGAGGAACAGAGCCTGTCAAAATGTTTAACAATATCTTAAATCTATAGGGCTGGTTCAGGTGAATATTTCTTAGAATCTGGGAAAGTTTAACACATCATATTTAATGAACACTGGTTTTACAAGTCAGATCTTAATCTGCATAGACAATAAGCACAGTTATACCTCGGTAACAGTCAAACATGAGTAAATATACTTAGCTGCTTTCTTCCTAGCCTGTACAGCCTACTGGTTTTTCATATGACAGGTAAGAACACAAGTGTTAGACATAATATCAAAACACCAGTAAGTATTAAAAGTAAAAATACTCACCCGAAGAGTAAGGTATGTGTAATTAGTCCTTGTAATGTGGACAAGTAATGTACAGAGAACAGTTTACATCTGTTTTGCTGTAAAACATACTACTGTTCTGTGGCAGAGTCAAACATGGTCAAACCATACCATGATTAATATGTTTACTTACACCATGAACATGCAAATGTAGTTAACACTTGGTGCACAGAATTCAAAGGACAAAGGAGCAATAGTGATAGACATGAAAAAGTGGAATGGAGCAGAGTAATTTAGAGGTTTTGGAGTTATTGTCTGAACTGCTGTGGAAAAAAATGCTTAAGATTTGCCAAATATTGTTTTGATGTTTTTAACCGCATGCAGAGTGTAAAACAGCTCAGACACTAACTACAACACAATTAGATGTGACTGGAATGTGCTACCACAGCTCATATACATAAATATGCTGAGTTATATACAGCATGTGAATAAAACTTGTCACACTCATTGGGTTTTACTGTTGATAAGGGACATGTTGAAGTGTGATCTCAACTGTCACAGTGTTGGAGAGTCAAATAAATAAGAGCCGACTCCTAATTTAAATGCAGACTTTGGACCGTCAGTAAAACTGACATTTAACTTTTCCCCTGTGCAATTTGAATGAATTTGAAATGTGTACTGTATTTAAATAAATAGTGTTTTACTGTTTGTGTAAATGAAAATTAATCTTCAGAATTTATTTGATGAACTTACACACACAGCTGACATTCCTGTAAAAGTCATAAAATGTTATTGCTTTACTTTTGCGCTTGTGTGGTCAGTGGATTTTTCTGCTGTTTATTATTATGTGTATACAAACAAAGTTTGGGAAGCAGAATGTTTTATGACTGCTCCTTATATTTATGTTCATCATATTTTTGCATTAAAATGTCTTAAATCCTTAGAATATGACTTCAGTTCTTGGTGTTTGTATACTGAAGCAGTCAGTCAGGTTTCTGGTGCAGTCAGAGGTAGTGAGGACCCTGCCTAGCCACACTGTTGGCAGATGGCCAGGCAGCTATCGAAGGGAACATGATGACCTCTTTAATTATAAGGGTGACATAACACAAATGAACCTGATTCTGCGAAGCCACAAAGATGTTGTCAACAGGCTGAGTGATCTTCTGAGCAATCACTTATTAGATGAAAGTGGGTTCACAAACTTTCAGAACACTTTATTCAGATTAAAGCAAAACATAAACACAGAAACATTGTGGTCTTGTGATCTAATAACACAACTAGCCCTTTAACCAGCCACAATAAATGGATAGATTTTTTTCATTTTTTATAAACAAAACTCATTAAGACAGTTGAGTCCAGTTCAGGCAGAGATCTGTTTGTTTGTTTGTTTGTTTTCCAAGCATCTTGTCTGAACTGCAGTGTCCTTGGTTGGCACTTCCTCCTGCCTTGTACGCTAAAGCAGAGTTCAAAAAAGTACTCAGCTGATCTGCAAGACTACAGCTAAAATGCATGAATAGATTTGTATATCGACACATGGCCTGTTGTCTTCCTTCCTGAAACATCATGAACATTTTGTTTCTGTTTTGATGAAACCACAACCTGATAGAAAAGAGGAAAATGAGATGGTGAAAGTTTAAATCAGCAGTTTGCAGCTGTTTATATATAATAAACATATAGTGTATATTACTCAGTTTTAAGGTTTTAGGGCTTTTTACTGTGATGAGGTAGAAATTTTTGCTTAATTTTCTCTAAAAGGTAAAGGTATCTTAATAACCGGTTAACATGTTACTAAATATTACATGTAGTACTTAAATCTGACTGGCAATTGCAAGAATATGTTTGTCTGAATGTGGTCAGAAGTGGGTGAGTGAGTTCATACAGGGATACAGGCTGCACAGTCATCAGGAAGTGAAACAGAACAGAATGTGCTGTACTAATCTGATTGAAAAACACTGCCCTGAGTGGCTGCATGAGAAAAAAAACATTTCATTTAAACAGCTAAAAGGAGAATCCTATGGCACCAGGGGATCTGTATAAAGAACACAAACTGAGCTTAGCTCTTCATTTGGCAATATAAAAAACAATGGTGAGGATGAGGCCCGAGAAGCACTAGCTCTCACACAAGCATGCACCCTGTGACTAAAATAAAGCTGTCTAACATAATGCTCTTTGTTTGTGTTCTAGACATCCGTGTTACGTACATTTGCGTAATCTCCTGAGTGATCCCCTTTATCCCTGAACTTTTGCTCCCATGAAGCATGAGGTTTTTACCGCTCTGTCTGCCAAGGACCCGAAATAAATGATTCCTCGCTGATGCTAAGGAAGAAAAATGGGATGAATCTTTTAATCAAGTCAGCTTGAAACTTAAATGGCTCAGTTTTATTCTTGACAAAGTTTAGCGCTCATTTTATTTCCTTATATAATCAAGTTATAAAGACGGCTTTCAAAGCCAGCTTTAATGTCATGATAACTAGTTGATGTATTCTAAATATACACAATTTCCAGTGGTGGAAAAGGTATTTAGAGACTTAGGTTAAAGTACAAGTATGTCAAAATGAAGTACAGAACTAGAGTAAATGTACTTAGATTTTACTTAACGGTGTCCAGATATGTTTGGAAAGAACATTTTAAGCAGGAGTTGTGTCCATGGCCTGTGTTCACTTATAAATACTATGACAAAACATTTCATTTTAGGTGCTTTTCTTTGACTGTTTTGTCACCACAGTTTGGCTGCTTTGTGTCCTCGGCACCAGATTGCTGTCATGCATAATGGGTACACAGTAAAATTAAAGAGTGAAAGACTTCCAGATGTGTGGTTCCTTTTGTTTTGATGCTTCTATATTTTGTTTGGTATTTTTGACAGTTTATCCTCTGGCCCCTAAAGGAACAGTATTTTGTTTCAACTGCATTTTTTACAGTTAAAGAAACAAAACGAAGAAACCAATGCTATGTTTGCAGTCCTGGACATCACTTATCTCCTTAATGCTTCCTGAGTTTTTCTGCTTTCTTAAACTGATCACCTGTTTAAGAATCCTCCACAGAAATGGACACATTGCTTCTGTTAGACTCCAAGGTAACTTATTACAGCCAGAAACATACAGTGCACTTCAACTGAATTTATATTGTACTTATTTGTAATAATGGCGTACCTGTACAGTAAATACAAATACACATTTCACTGTAAATTCTAAGTTTCCCGTACTTATTTTTATCTAAATTAATCAGATAAAAATACATTGAGCTGCTCATCTTTTCTGACCCCAGATGGCAATTAACTTATTTAAAATGAGATTTATCAGACTTAAAACCTGAGTTAGGCCCACTAATCATTTTAAATTAAATGAAATACTATGTTAGCATGTTGTTACTGTGTTGTTGGTACAAGGGAACAAGATGAAAGGTTTGGGGAATAAGGGAGAAACAACCTGGAAACATGAAATTTACTGTATTTTCTAACGAGGGGTGTCTATTTTAATATTAGGTGGTAAAGTACTGTACATATAACTTCTTGTGCTAAGCAACAATCTTGCATTTGAACTGTTTAAGCTTATGGTGAGAACTTGTATGGGATGTAAACAATATTTTTTAACTATGTGTAACACCTGTAACAAATCTGCCATGATTTTATTTCAAAATGACCATTTAGGCTACTAAAGTGTCAATTTACAACTTACAGTATTCCTTTTTAAGTTTGGGGGAATTAAATAACTTCAGGGCATATTTGTGTTTTGATCAGAAGACAGTCTCAGCTACCTTTCACTTCACCACAGAACGAAAATTACCCACCCTGCAAGATTATAAATTACCATATGTGTATATTTTCTACAAAACACATGTTGAGAATTCTTGAGGCATGGGTTTTACCCTACATGTGCACGATTATTACAAAAAGTACACTGTAATTTTTGTTGAACTGTGTTGTGGGCTGTAATTTAACATGTCTGTGTTCATGATTTGCTCATGTAACGCAAAAAATTTGGTGAAATAACAATGTTTTAAGTAAATTTTCACATATTGCAGCTTCATCTGATGTATGAGCTCAGTTTGGAACCAAGGGCAGGGTTTACCACTTCTCAACTCTTCGACATATTGGGCTGTGTCAAATGTTAGAGGACAAGAAAAACTATTTGATGAAAACAAATTGGTTGACTGTGTAATTGGTATTATTATCTTTACATATACAGAGTTGTGTAACTCCAAACAATGTCAAGGGTTAAACTTTAAATGGAAGCACCTCTCTCATTCATTGGGCAGGACTCCCATCAAACCTGCTAATGGGGGCTTATTATTCTTCATTAAATTATCTTGCATTTGTTACAGGGAAGTCTAGCAATTAGCAATTTCATCTGCCATGTCGGGAACTCATTAACCAAAGCTTGAGACGTGTGAATAATTGCTTGATTTCAAATATGAATCCTCACAATGGCAGTTAGGGTCCTGTCCAGACACAATAGGGAGTAACTGAACAACTACAAACAAGATGTGACAGTTTGGTTTACAAAAGAAATGCTTCACAATAAAGGGCACCATTACTAACTCCAAAATGTTTTTGAATGAGGACGCCAGTAATTAACATATGAAACACACAATTCGCTATCAACTACAACTTTATGTAGATTTCCACTTAACTGAACAAACAACCTTGGATCATCTTATGTTTTATTTTATGATGTCAGAAGGGTCCTGGCCAGAGACATACAAAGGCTTCTGTTATTGACACCTTTCCCCATGCTCAGCACTGGTTCTTGAATGTTGTCTCTGCATGAAAGTGTAGCCTATATGCAACATCTAACCACCCACCTGATCACTTACAAGGAGTTGTTTGTAGTGTTGTCTCCTGTTGAGCAATAACCC